ACTGATCACAATGATAGGGTAAGGGAATTGTTAGTAATGGGGTCTAGGGTTAATCACGATGGGCAAACTGACCTAACCTCGTGCTCACTTTATCATCCTCCACTGGTGCCCCGCCGGCGTAAATCGTTAGCGCAGCCGGGTACGTCATTCTATTATCATCCATAAAAAAAAATCACAGCGATAAATTAAAATGCAGAAAGAAATTGCATCCTTTTAAACTATTTTGTTTTCGTAAATTCTAAAGCTATTTGACTCGCGTGTTAACCAAACATGGCGACAATAAACAAACCTTTATCGCCATTTTAATAAATGTGCGAGGAACTTTCTTAGAATAAATAAACCTTAAGGTGCCTAATAAAAGCACTTTATCTGGAGAATTTCCGAGGCGCGACAAAAAGACAGCAAGGTTTATGATGGCCCTTTATGAATACACATGAAACAAATGTATTTACATATTCATGAATGTGTTCGCACACTTATTTATTATTAACTAGTTGTTATCTCATATGATTTCCACATAATTTTGTTATGGTTTAAAGGAATTATGGCGACTAGCAAATAATTGGATATCCTTATAATTTATTTGATCAGGTTTTCAGTCTTTAATGTACTGTAATTTAAATTTTAATGAATACCTTACAGAAAAAAATATTATATTAATTAAAATAATAATAATTTTATTTATGACATGTGTAACAATAAAAGCAGATTTACACTTACATGTTATAAGGAGCGTTTTAAAGAACAAAATATATTTTTTTTAATATTCAAAAGATTGAATTGTTTCACGGAAAATATGCTCTGTTTTAACTGATGGAGGCGTGCATTCAATCAACAATCGTTGCAAATATGCTAAAGAAAAAAATAAAGAATCATAGTTTCATATATAAAATATTTTGTACAAAATAACGCCTCGAATACTTTTAAAACTGCGTGTTATAAGTACTATAAGCGAAATAAAAAATACAAAAGTAATGTTCTAATTTTGAATTTTGAATTATTTTGCAAATGCATTTTCCTTATGTTCTAATTTGGATTTAAAATTTCTTTGAAATTACGTATCACTGTGTTCTTATTTTAAAATTCAATTAATGATATCAACACTGAAGAACGTTCTCGTATATATTCCCATAAGTAATTAACAAATTTATTGAGCTTCGATGGTAGTTTCAGATTGCATGTCTCATAACCATCCATTTTACTTTCATTTACTTTAGAGGACAAACCAATCGCATTAACTTTAAAACCTCTCATTAGCCCCACAAAGTCTCTGTAAACCATAATTAAAGGCTCAGTGGTGTCGTATCATTTGGCAGTTTCCTCTGAAATGGTTCATTAACCGTTGAAAATGGAGTGCGTTAGTGTTGTCTGTTTTTGGAAAGTATTTATGGCACAGTTTGCTCAGTTATGACTGAGTGTTATTACTTTTATTACCAATTACTAAATTAGAGAATATGAGACAAAATTCTATTAATTAAATAGAATATAGAAATTCTAATTGAATCGAATATATTAACATACTAACTTCAAATTTAAAAATAGAACACTTTCTTTTTTTTTTCAAATTTTAAAATAGTATAATAGTTTTGTTATGTATATTTTAGTGCACTAAAAAATATTGTTTATATTTTTTTGCAAGAGATCTGATAGTGTTGTATTAGTATTTGGTATTTATTTTCTAAATCATCAATCAGCACGCTAAACAGGCAATGGGCCAGGCACATAACTTAAATGGCGGGAAGAAAAATCTCCTCGAGTGGCAACTGTATAAACGTAGTGACGACGTTGTATCTCATATACTGTTAACACACAGCTTTATTTCCGATGGTTGGGGGTTCGATTCCTCGCACGGTACAAAAAATGGTATTCATTAGTATCGTTGTTTGTATCAGCCTGGATGATTTCTATCTATATTATATATGTATTTACAAAAAATGTATCTGTGTATTTATATCAGTTGCCTAAACACAAGCTTTGCTTAAATCGGATCTAGATGGCACTGTATAAATTATCTTGAGATACTATTATTATTATTTATTCATTGCAATTATTAACTGTTAATGAAATAATATTAATACATGTAATATTATTAATTATTTTTAATTAAGGACTGAACTATTTACGCTTCGAAACACGTACACCTCTTACAAATGTATCTCAAGAGAAACAGCATCTCGTTACATAAAGGTTTATGTAGCCATTATTATGGGCTTTGAGTCATTGATACAAAGGTACGGCCTGAGGCGTGGCGTTTATAGTCTGTCATTAAGGTTTTAATAATGAGCGAACTACCCTCGAACGGTATGGGCGTAGATGTATGTATGTAATATAATTTAGCTTGAAATGACGGCCTTGGTAGTTCAGCGGTTTAGGTCACGGCTTTATTTTTTAATTTTTTTTTTATTAAATAATCAATCTTATAATATAATATCACTAAACAGTACACACAACGTCATCTTGTCTCAAGCTAAGTAGAACTCATGTTATGGGTATTTGTCAACTGATAGAATACTTGTATATATTTTTTTTGTAAATATATATAATATACACAGAAAACACCCAGACCGATATAAACAATCACACTTCCATTTTATAATATTAGTCTGGAATGGTTAATATTAATATTATGTTATATGTGGTTAATATGCATATGAGTATACCTTTTGTTTTTTGGACTACTCTAATGCTGTTGGCCGCAGCTGGCCTTTACAGCTTCATCGGACGAGTGAGTATACCGAATAGTTATAGATACATGATAGTAATAATAATAATAAGGCTATATTTTAGATAAATGTGCAATAGTCCATCGCTTCCTAAGTGCTACAAAAGAATAAAAATGAAAATCATCATGAAAAATAAAGTAACGAGAGACTTGGCATCTCCTGTCTTCTGTACCAATCACCAGTTTCGCTGTGAAAAAGGGTAAATAATAATAATAATCTCAGGACAAGTCACATAGCGTCATCTAAACCCAAATTAAGCTAGCTAAAGCTTGTGTTGGGTACTAGATAACTGATACAAAGATATATTTTTTTTTTCGTGCATAAATACACAACCAGTCCGATACAAACAATCATACTCATGAATACAAATGTTTGTATCGTGCGAGGAATCGAACTCACGCCTATCAGAAGTACGGCGGTGTGCTTAATCACTAGCCCACCGAGGCCGCCAAGATGCGATAAATCCGTTTTGAAATTAAAAAATACCTGAATCATATCTAAGCTGTTATACGACATCGAATAAACGTAGGCAGCATTGTTCCGAGTTAATGTACCAAATTCAAAATAGCTTATGTATAAGTAGCCCGAAATATAGATCCGCTATTGCTGAATAGAATCTCAAGTTGGTCCAGGGTGTTTAGAGGGGTTGTCTGTTCCAAATAAGGGGTAGTGATTCATCAATTGTGCAAAGTGGCACTTCATATTCAGTTCGATTCACTGTCTCGTCCGCACCAACGCCTATAAATGTACCCTGATTAAATGAATTGGTCCTTTTTGAAACTTTTTATATATGTATATTGAAGGGATGTAGGTATACAGTTGTATTTATATTTTTATGTTTGTCTATACATTCTTATAGTTATTATCATATATATATATACAATCATATCTCAGTGTCTTTTTTATGTATGACTATAAATAGTTAACACAATATTCTATAACATTGTCTAGGTTTGCTAAAAGAAATCTCTTTTTAGAAATAGGCTAGCCCTTATACATTATATTTAATTGTACATTTTTTGTTTCCTATGTGTGTACAATAAAGATTAAATAATAATGAGTACTGTAATTTTTTTTATTTATAATTGAAAAACAAAAGCACACTATAAGTTTCCTTTTTTTACCGAGGGGAAATACTAATTCAATATATTTATTTTAATCTAAGATAAATAAAATATTTATACTTTCTTAGTTATAAAAAAAACTTATATCTTTTATTGTAACACTCTTAATATATTTATAATAGGGATATAATGAACAAAATACATGTTACATAAATATTTATTTAATTAATAAATCAATATTTAATTTCAAATTAAACTGATTCATTACATTTATAATTTGCAATATCTAATAAAAGTAGAAAAAGTATCAAAATATATCTACTCTATACATACTCAAATGTACTTTTCGGCTAAGCAAATAGAGTTAGTTGGATAATTTGACGTTGCTACGACGCCCCCTGGGAATCGAACATGCACTAGGGAGTACATCCATCTGCTTTTTATGCAATCGTCTGTAATGGTGCAAAAAGAATAATAAGATTTTCTTTTCTATACAGATGCACCGGGAATAAATAAAGAACTGGGGGTATTTCCATCATTTGAGGGGAAGTCTTTTTATATGTAAATTTGCATTAATTGACAATTAGAATATAATTTTATTTAACGGGTAATTTAAGGAATAGGTTAATATATATTATTGTTGAATAAAAAATTTTGAAAAACTATATCATAATTTTCAGTTAAATTCGTTTACTACTATTGAAAAAAAATTGGCATTTTAAACTTGGCTTTTGTGCTTATATTTACTATTTAAAAAAATAACTATGGCTATAAACATGTTTAAAGCAGTCGTATTTAGAAATCTATTTGATATGGTTTTCAACGAAGTATCATATAATAATTTACTCCAAAATATATAATAACACAACATATACTAGTTTATCAGATAGGTATGTTTTATCAGTTTATATGCGAAGAGATGACAGATAGATATATAGAGATATTATTTAGTTGTCTTAGTATTAGATAAAGTTGTAGGGTAATAATAATTATTACAACGGGTACCGATAAATTTAATCGAGAGAGAATAACTAATATCCTTTTTATTCTAAATACTTAGGTTTTTTTTAATTGATGTGTCCACTTCGCTCGTACATCACAAACATATCTAATCACAATCTGGAAACGTCGTAATCTTGCAGTCTGTAATTTCCCTTTGTATACAGAAACTCGTAATTATGCATATCTGCAATATTTCTATTATTTGTTACAGGTCTAGACGCGGAACTATACTATGTTAGAGAAGGAGTGGTGAATACATATGCCACCGGTTTCATAGTGCCTGTCCCGGCTCATATAGCTGACCTCGAGTTCATGTGGCAGGCGCTCGGCAGAAGACCTGTAAGTATATAGAAAAAGGTTTATAAATATTATTTATAACGTTATACTTTTCTGTTCAGTTTTGAAAGATGTATTATTGTACTTACAGTGACTGCGATAAAAAAAAATATAGCTGAAAATTTTAAACAAGAAAAAACAATGATAAAATTTAAAAATGGAATATTAAAAATGTTATACAGAAACCCACGCTGACTAAGCTGCCAGTAATAACATTGATAAAAAAAAGAATGTCAGAAATTACATAAAAAGTTTGAAAAAAGAATATAAACTAAGTTACCAATTATAATACTCGTTTATATAGTATATATTTTTATTAAAATCTGTTAATTATTTCCGATTCAAAATAAATACAGGTAATAAAATCGTGAATGGATTTTTAAATAAACATCTTAAATACGTTATAAGTATATGATTATATGTTAACGAGGTCTAATTAATAGTTTTTAGATTTCTTGTCTATTTCTCTATATGTTTGCGTGCTAATCTCTGATTGTCTAAGAAAAATAAACAACCAAAGTATTATAATAAAAACACTTGCTGAATTCTTTAATTCTGTACATGCTTTGAATATTGATTGTTGTGTAAACAGTTTAAGAATTAGAAATTCTTAATTATAACTGTCGCTGGTTCCTTACATTTCAATTTGGCTTGAATGAGATTTAATTTTGAAAACAAAAGGCCGGATTAAGTGTTCCTTTTGCAATGGCGTCTAACGAATATTTATAGCTTTCGTTACGTTTCTTCTGATGCTGATTTTTAATCAAGTTTTAAAATGTTAAATTGTCTCCTCTAGGTCGTAATAATAATAACTTGCAGTTTTTAATTAAAAGTTAACCAAAATTGAAGGTGGACTGGACTGATTGTATTCTAATAGGGGATAATTTAGTATAGGATCAACAATAAAATAAATCTCATTGGTTAGAAAACATAATTAAAGGAATATATTTAGTTATAGCGAAGTGTAGTTGTTTTCTAGTGAATCTTTAAAATAACAACAAGTAACAAACATGTTGCTATAGCCTCTATAAAAACATATATGAGTAAGTACAGAAAGACTAGAGCAACCTACAGATATTGTTCTATGTGAACATTGAATTTTGTTGGGTGTATGGCATAATAGAAAAAATAAACCCCTAAAATTAGTAGCTGCCGCTGTAATAAAATCGAAGTTAGACACTACGTAATATAGGTCATATTATTATTAGTACCTGAAGTAGATTTTGTAAAAAGTTAATTAGATACCTATTTCAGCCACCACGCTGCTTGTGTGCTGCACGTAAGCTGTGATTCGATTAAACGCAATCAAATTACAGAATAAGACATGACGTCTTAGACCTCTGGAATCGTAGCACACGATGGGTATCGCGGGTATGATAACGTGATTTCCGTGGTGCCATTCGACTGTATAGGCAAAGGTTATCGCTTACTATTTAGCTTGTTTGTCTTTCCCATAACACAAAAAAAAAATCTTTCTTGTACATAATACTAGTAGAATTACGATAGTAATAAATATATGAAATCAAAAGCCACAATGCCATCGGCGTGATGTTAACAAATCGATTGACAGCTCATTTGTGAAAATTGGTCCCATTAGGCGTTAATATTCGAGGGTGAGTACATAAATTATGGACATTCGACCAATTATGGGTGGATATGTGTAGGGTTCCGTATTAAAATCTGACTGTCTGTCTGTCACAGCGGCGCATTTTAGTAACTATTAATGTATAATTTCACTTCCCTTTTATCTCTAGATAGTCCGAAGTGAAAAGACTGAAATAATCATCTTTGTAAATAAAATTGATTGTTTGTATGTCTTCCTATATCCCTACTTAAATAATTCATACAATTGCATCATATTTGATTGTAATAATAATTCATAAAAAAAATCGAAATCAGGGCGGGTCGCTTGTGGTTAATAAATAATAATATTATAATTAAATATAAATTAAAACAGAACACAATCATATTTCTGCAAATTTTACGATGTTTGTACATCGTAAAATTTATCGCGTGAAATGCTATATTTTATTATATAGGCTGTATTTTGTTAATGTTAAAAAAAGAAAAAATTTAGATAAAAATAATATTAATAAATTGCAATCATTCTTTCAGACTATAAGCAGATTCGTTGATACTTATAAAAGATTGTGTGAGTTGATTCTCCATTGAGATTTCAGCATCAGAAATATTATAGCTTAGGCTCTGGTCTTTTTAAGTCTTTTACTTTACGTCTCTAATGGCGTATCACATAATCAGGTAAAAAAATATATTTTTCTAATTAGAACTGCATTTACATATATAATTAGCGTTTTATGTAACAAAAAGCCATTTTTTACAAAATACCCTAAGTACTGAACTCTTGGTGTGAGAAATAGAATCGTACTTGACTGTTTTCTATCCACTTCTACCTACTACATTCTACTTATGTAATCGTGGCGCTTGGTGTCAATAGTTTATAGGCCGACTTACTTGTGCCCGAACACTTCTGACGTGGCATGTAGGCAGCGAGTTTACGTGTCATATACAACACGAAGGGAGATATGTATTTTTAATATGTTATTCTATAACATTATTTTTTATTTGAAAACACAATACTGTATTACTAAAGGAAACTGTTATTCATTGCAGGAGATTTTTGATTATAAAAATGAAATAGTACGATATCACGTGAATACTAATAATTGTAATATAATTTGTTACAGTGTGTGATTTTAATTTAACAATTTTAAATATTATTAAAATTGTGAATATAGGTAAAATTAATATGACTTATGTCTATTGTAACGTCTATACATTATTTTATAATATATTTTGTTCTTATGGAAATCTCATGTTCATCTTTTATATCATCATAATGAAATAATACCAATAATATCTTTGAGCAAATCACACAGCGACATCCAATCCCAAGCTAAGTACACCTGTGCATAGCTTGGGATTGGATGGCGCTGGTGGTATGGGTACCTACTGATATAAATACGTAGATACTTTTGTTTATAAATCTATAAACAATGCCCAGATTGATACAAACAATCATATTCTTCAATGCATGAATTATATTGCATACGACGAATCGAACCCGCTCCCATCGGAACTAAAATGGTGTGCTAAATCGCTATACCGAGAAGGCGAGGCGAGGCCGAATATAATAATTAAATCTATTAAACAATACAAATACAAATAGAGTATATAGTAGTGTTGTATATAATGTTACTAATGTCTTCTACATTACTACTTACGAATACAGATATAATCATATATACATATGTTATTCAAACACTAATATATACTATATTCCAGGGTATTCTCATTATAAAATATCCCAAGGGTTTACTATTTTCTACAAACTTGGAACATACATAAATGCACAAAGTTGCATCTAAAACAGGTATACGTGACCTCACGTAGTGAAAACTAAGCTTCCACCTCTTTACGGATTGCAGACGTTGTTATATATTTTATATTGCCTTCAACTATATATTATCTAACGTTAAAAATACTATCTGTATAAAAATAATTATCATATAGATTAGTGAATATTCTTTTATGGATTTTGCATTGGAAATAACCACTTGATGGAATATGGTCAGATGATTAAAATTATTGTTAATACTAGCTTTTATTAATTTTAGTGCTGTTTGGAAGTTATAAAATAGTGAAAATTCATTATAATGATAATATACAATGGTATAAAAAATGGAACCTAATATTTAAAAAATAATAAAGGAATATTCCTCAATTATTCAAATATTGAAAAGTAACGGAGCGCTAGCGTTTTTCCAACCCAGAACTGTATTTATGATAAGAATATCCCATTTATCCCACTCTGTGATCGAAATGGGGGAAAGGGATTGTTAGTGACGTGGACTAATGACCCCTTACGAGCAATTCACCCTGTCAGATTGACCTCCACGCGGTTCCCCTTGGAAACCATCGTGATAAATTCTTGGTGAATTTGTCACCATGGGCTAACTGACCTGACCTCATGTTCATGTTATCACCCTCCACTGGTACCCCGCCAGCGTAAACCGTTAGGTGGGTGTTCCATTCCATTACCTTAAAAAAAAAACTATCATCGAAGTCGTAATCGGTGACTGAGTCGAAATTCGCACCTAGCACTACCCACAGACTGTATTTATAGTATATTATATATTAAAATATAAACGGAATCGGGTTGATGTTGGTTTATAACAATTTTATTTTGTTAATTTATGTAATTGCACTAAACATCTGACACAAGAATCAGTATAATTCTTGTTTTACAAGATATATACTCTTAATTACAAATACGAATATAAGACTACAACAGAAAATTTTAATACCAATTCAAATTTACCGTTAATAAATATCTAATGGTGACAGTGAATCCCAAAGTTGGTTGCATATTTAAAGACAAAATTATTCTATACTATTTACAGACATGTGTAGCAATGATCCAATGATAATACTATGATTGTTTGTTCCACACAGTTACCGTACGTGATGGGCATAGACTACGAGAGTCGGGGCGCCATGCTGCCGCCGCAGGTCAATATATCTGAGAGAGGGCTGGTACCTACCACACTGCAGACTTTTAGGTAAATTATTATTTTCAATGCTCACCAGAAAAACTTTTTTTTATTGATATAATTGGAAAGGATTAGCTGACAGCGCACCTAATAGTAAGCAGTAACCGTCCCCTATAGTAATATATAATATAGTAATATATACAACTAGTAATATACATATAATATCTTGGACAATTCACATGACGCCATCTAGTCCCAAGCTTGTTTAGTTTGGGAATAGATCGATTTGTGTTGTGAGCTTGTCTTATGGGTACTCCACAACTGGTATAAACAATTGGATACATTTATATTGTAAATATATACATAGGACACATAGAAAATACCAACACAAAGTCATATTCATGAATACAAATGTTGGTACCGTATGAGGAATCAAATCCGCGACAATCGGAAGTACAGCGATGTGCTAAACCGCTAGACTGTTAATTTCAAATTCAGCACGTCAGTAGTTTCTCAAATCTACCATGACAGACGGGTAAAGGCCAGACAGACAAGCTATTACTATATAACGGTTCTGCTTGACCTTTATGGATAAAATATTAATAAGTTCAATTTATTCCAGGGTTCGCTTGCCATGCACCGGTTCGAGAAGTGCTGAAATACTTGTAACCATCCAACTTAATATATCAGCACCTGATCGCGCACACAAGGATGTCAGATTGTTATTCAAAAGAAACAAAATATGTTGGAAAGGTAGGAAAACATTATTAAAACCATAGACTAGCTGTGCTCGCGGTTTCACCCTCGTGAAACTTATAGCCTACGTGTTATTCTGATATATGAGCTATATTACTATAAAGTTTCATCAAACATCCATTAATCCATCTCACATATTCTCACAAATTTTCGGTTTTATAATATTAGTAAGAGAAGGTGACAAAGAGTTAATGAAGTGTCTATTTATAATGTAATTTTTTTTATATACATTTCAAAAGTCTTAAGTCATAGATAAAATCTGCCAAATAAAAAATTTCAGTTCACATTTATTTAAAAGTAAAATATAGAAAGAAATATTTCTTATAGTAAATTCTTTCATAATATGTATAACAGAAGATTGATGGGAGAAGACCCATTTATTATATATTTACAAATTACTTCTTATTTCATCATCTGCTTCTTCCTTATCTCATTCATTTCGAGGCGGCGTAATATGTTCTTCTTTTCCATTCGCCCCTGTTCGTAGTCATCTCGTTATTTACTTTTTTCTAACCATATAATCATCCAACACAGTCCTATCTCTTTTTCGAACTTACTCGGCCCTTATAACCATTTACATTCATATGAAATACATTGAAATTACTTCTTGTTTACAAATCATTACATATTATATGAATTCATACGAAGTTCTCATTCAGTATTTTTGTCATATAACTCTACAGGCACTTACTCTATATGCAATATACGTAAAACATTTGAAAAATGATCAAACTTTAGTACTTTATTTCCCCTTCGAAATCAGTCTAACGAGTTATGGTACCTACACTAAAAACACATAAAGCAATAAAAGCGAAGTTAGAACACTTTCTCTGTCTACCGCAATAATAATAACAATAAATTTCTCACAATGTACGATAGAATTGATGGTATAATGGCGTAAGTACAGTTAGGGAATTTATTGGGAATTTGAAATTATTTCTCATATAGTTGGCATATATTAGATATGGAGATTTTTATGTATGAAACGTTTTGTTTACTATCTATTTTTGGTATGTTTAATAAGTCTAATGTTGATTATAAAGACTATAAGACAAATTGCAGTTACGAATACTATCAATCTAATTAAATATGATACAAAAGGCAGAGATATTGCTGTGGGTATTCTCAAGCAGACACACCTTATCCAATTTATATAACTCTGAAATACATCATAATTAAAATTAATACTAGTATTAATTTATTTAAGACTTCGTAAGTAAGTTATTTTTCTCTTAGTCTTATTTACATTCACAAAACTAATCAACAATATACATGTTCTAGAATTAATTCATTATTGTTACGTATCTATAACAGAGTTAATATGATATTTAACGATGCTGTTGTAGATTAAATTTCTTGTAAATATACGTCCCTTGCGGGGTATATATAGAATAAACTAATATTTAATCTGCAATTAATACTTATTGTAATTCTTTTTTAAATTATGCAAATCGCTTGCAAAGTATACATTTTTTTAATTACAATGCATATGATTTTGCATCAAGTTTGTATGTTGTCAGTTATAAATTAACAAATGAAGAACATTTTAATTATGAAGGCAAGTATTATCTTAAATAATAAAAAAAATATGATGCGCTGTAAAAATATAAAAAAAAAATCTAAAAATACTGGGCCTAGGATAATACAATTTATAGGTTCGTATATGTCCCTCTATCACCGATATATTGTCAGGTCACTCCTAACGGGATATAGGTATGTGAAATAGTTGCGATATTATTTACAATGTATACATACAATTAATATACAATGAATCTCATACTTTTTAACTAGACATACACTCGTAAGGTCTTTCATATTTAGGTAGGTTATATATGTAAAATTCATATTATATTTTTGTCAATAAGTTTATATTCCTACAATAATATTATCTAAACTATTAAACATTACTTTCCGTCCAGTTAATAAGCAAATCGTGTATGTTATTATTACCATTATATTAATATTTTTTCTGTCTTTATAAGATTGCTTATGATAGGAATGTTTTCAAGGGAATAGATATTATTCCAAAATTACTTTAACCTTCCTAGAAACGTATCCATTCTCTGAAGTAGCCAAAATTTTTATTAAACCCGTGGCTCGGAAATATTCAAAACAAAAAATAAAGAAAAATTACTTTCTGAATATAAAGAAACTGTAGTTTTATTAACAAAGTTAGATTATTAGATTGTCTTATGTAAATCACTATTTTTCTCACACTTTATTAGCATGTAGACAATTCATACATCCAATAGAATACTACTGAGTTATAAAAATATGTCTTAGTCGATTATGTCCAGATGAACAACGAGATCACAAACTAGGTATTATTTTAAAAAGCTGATGGAAAGTAACAACTTTAGGTCCTTGATCCTTGATGATACCCATTTCTTTTATACAACAGTGAGCACAACGCGGTACACTATACTGATATACGTACTTAATCTTTTATCATGTTATATCAATATACACGAATTTTATTACTTATATTTTAAGATACCAGTAAACGGAAATTTACAGAATAAAGGCAAACAAAATATATACTAGCTGTGCCCACGTTTTCACCCGCGTTAAATTTCAATAAAAATATAGCCTATATATTATTCTGAAATCCGTTCTGTAGTTTTTACGTGAATGAATAAGAAACCATACTCATAAACTTTCGCGTTTATAATATTACTAGCTACTCGCCCCGGCTTCGCACGGGTGTACATGTCTTATATGTATATACAAACCTTCCTCTAGAATCTCACTATCTATTTAAAAAAAACGCTTCAAAATCCGGTAGTTATAAAGATTTAAGTATACATAGGGACAGACAGCGACAGCGACTTTATTGTATACTATGTAATGATTTTCTGAAAATAAAGTATAGAGTTTTATTAAAAAGTTTAAGATTGGCCCAGCCGACAAATCACTCCCTCGCATACTTTATTAGTATGTAGACGATTCCGTAGACGCAACAGGATATTTGAGAGGGATACAAGCGTATCTGGGGCCGGAGGCTCTTCCCCTTAATGTGTTTACAAGGAAGTATCGATTGTTCTCTTGTACTTTTATTTGACTTGGAAATTTCTTGTTTCCCTTCCCGAGCGTTAAGAGTGCTTTATTGTGCCTTTTCAGTGTTTTTAAGACATTTTCTAGTTATGGGGCGTATTTTAAAGCCACATTTTAAAGACCGAAGCGAAGGCTAAATAAATAGTCGTGTCTTTATAGAATTAATTTCTTTTATTTGCGGTTACTGAGTGAAGCTAATGATTAGGTCAAGTTTATGTAGTGATGGAAATATTCATATATTTTTTTTTATCCTTAAGATGTCGTAATAGCTGTTTGTTATTAGAAATGTTTGTTTGGAAATTAATGTTTGGAATTAGAAAAGACATTAAGTAAATAACTAAATTGAATTTCTTTCTATATTTTTGAACATCATGATGATGATGATGATGATGTTAATAAATAATATCTGAAAAGTATTTATTAGGAATTGTTGATTATAAATTGATTTAAGAGATTATCTCGTAATTCTGATTGCCATCAGAATTATTAAGAATATTAGTACCATGGAAAAGCAATATATAAAAAAACTATATAAATAAATTCATGAGTAAAACTTGCACGCAATAAAAATATCGTCAGATACACATTGGTTTATCAATAAAATTGTGAGATCTAAGCACTTGAGCTTATTATATTCTTATTACACCTCACACCCTTCCCTTTTATCGTTGAAAGCTTTTCTGTTGCCCTTAATATTTTATTTAATAGGTTCCAAGTATATTTACGAGCACATCTTAAACTGATCTCTTATATCAGTAATAATTACCTATTATATCATAAATAGATAACATAAATGGCTGAGGAATAGACATCATAGTAATTGGATTTATAGTATGATAATTCTGACTGTAGTGCAATTTTTGTTTTTGTTTTTGTGTTATTTTTGTTGGGTATTGAAATATATTGTTTAAGATTGTATAAAATATACTTATTTTACGTTTAAATGTAACATGTAAAATTATAATCATATATAGTTATGTATGTAATGGTAGCAGGGATACATAATAATTACTATCGGTCCTGAACAGTCTGACGTATGCTGCGAATTATGAACTCCCATATTACGCGGCCTAGGTCATTTCTGAGACCTCGGAATGTATTCCTGTTATCTTTTGTGTGAAGTCCGTCACTTTGTTAAATTTTTTTACTGATATTGTGAAACCTATTATTAGCTATACTATTGTTTTGTACTTTCTGTTTTTATATATTGTGTATGCTGTTGGTTTCAAATAAATAAATAAAAAAAAAAAATATTTTATAGGTATGAACAATAGGATAATATTAGTAGTCATTTTGTAGATAATATTTATGATGTTTGTAGCTCCTGAACTTATAACAAACTTTATTCAAATGAACTAATACTAATACACACATTTCCTTAATTTATAAATATCTAATACTGATAAGTTTTTAATAATCTTATTACTATTAAATATTATTAAATAATGTTATTTATGCACAAATATATGGAATTAAATTGATGATGTATGTATAAAATAAACTCTACAAAATTTAAATCGGTGGAATATTTCTGTATGGGGATGATGATTATGTTGATGTGGTTATGTGTAACAGAATTATTGATTTGATATCTTTATGATTAAATAAAAAATTAGACTGAAGGATTTGTTAGCCTGATCAATCAATATACCAACGTATTCCATCAATCCTTCGTCATCATCATCATCATTATCTGTTTCTTCCGTACCTCATTAATTTGGGTATAATAATAATGTGTAATATATTTTCTCTTCCATTCATCCCTCAGTCATCTCGTTATTTCTCTCTTTCTTGCCATATTATATTTCACATAGTCAACTCCTTCAATGAATCACTATAGTTATTTACATATAGATGAAGTTGGATGTATGTATTTAAGATTATCACTTATTCGAATAGGTATGTCATCAGTGGTGACGCATAATGAAACAGCTCGCCTGGCCGGTGATGCATCCCGTGACTCCAGCGGGGTGCTGTTCGTTGCGGGCGGGTGTGCAGCGGCAGCGCTTGCACTGTTGACCGCGGCGGCAGCCGCTGGTACACTGTACAAGAGAGGTAGCAAGCAGAGACATCACGATTCTATACAGTAAGTATTAAATGTGCCTTCATTATTATTAATGTGTTCTAGCAACGTAGATATTAGCAAAGGTAAGAAATTATAGACAAGATGAAAAGCTCGCCAGCAGAGCGTTTGTCTGATGTTTTTTTTTTTATTTTTTCCAAGATATATAATTAAAATAATAATTATCTTAATAGACTTAGTGGTAAGGCTTTTTTATGGTGTCGAAAAATCTGCCAGAGGGGCAATGAGGGTGTGTGGGATTCTTACATAATAAACCACACGGTTTACCAACGAGTGTTATTGCTGAAGTCCAGGTGTTGGCCCACCCTGTTGAAGGAGTAGGGTAGGCCCCGTCTTATTATTGTTCTAATATTTTAATATTTGGGGCAGCCTATTTTGCCCTACTATAATTGTAAAGTTGCTTTACAACTATGGTACATATTTTAAAGCAGAATAGTAAGTAATCGAAACATTTAAAGTAGAATTATAAATTAATGATAAAATTATATTAATATCATTAAAAGAAATTATTTTATAAGATACTAGCTACTCGCCCCGGCTTCGCACTGGTGTACATGTATTATATATATATATATATATATATAAACCTTCCTCTAGAATCACTCTATCTATTAAACAAAACCGCTTCAAAATCCGTTGCGTACTTTTAAAGATTTAAGCATACATAGGTACAGGCAGACAGCGACAGCGCCTTTGTTTTATACTATGTAATGATGATAGTGTGTTTCAATAAAATACTAAGTAAGAAACGATGAGTAACTTATAATAAATGAATATGTAATTGATAATATTGTGTTCTAAAAATAGAATTATTCTCTCTACTATACGTAGGTTATGTGAAAATATATTTCTATCGCCTATATGTATAAAGTAAAACAACATAGCTAACAAGCGTACTATTACACAGGTAGCCGCCATAACGGTCCGTTATTTAAAATGTCTGCTAAAACAAAGAAGTGGAACTCAGCGGAGTTTTGAAACTAAATTATCTCGCTTTTAAAACTTCATTCCAGTTAATTGTGATGAAAGTCAATTCAAAATTGTTTTAAAAATGTTACCGTTTTTTGTTTACTTTTATTTTTAGGTGAATTAAAAGGCTTTAAGCTGTGGACTATGAATAGCTTAAATGAAAATCGTTTGTTGAATTTAAAAACTTTTTAATAGTAAAATAAATAATTTAAGAAATATTAAGTTTACATAACTATTTTTAAGTTAAAAATCGGATGTCAAATATCCAATAATGTTGAATAAATAGATAAGTAGAGGTAATAATCATAATCGGCAGATGCGCACTAAATACACGAAATATGAAATATAATACGCATTAACTATTATTTTTAGGTATTCAATTTTATCAGTAATTTTAAGTGTATAATTTTATAAAAATAAAATTAATAGATACAGCAACGCAAGTATTGGAAAAATGAATGGAGAACTCTAAACTATTTTATTTTATTTTATTAAAATTTACGAATATATATTCTAATATTTTTTTATTTTTAGTATAAATACATATATTTGAGTTTAAGGAAACTTTTAATACAGTCACTACACACGCCACATTGTGGAAGGCTCGTAAAATACTGCCACGAATATTTATGTATTCAGATGGAAAATGTGCGTGACAAAGATTTCGGGCGATACTAAATTCTTTGAGCAATGGAATCTTTATGTGAGTACAGATTAAATATTAATGTCAGCTGGTGCTGTGTAGATCGGAAATTTATTTTTATAAGATAGTACTGATTTACATTTCATAAGTCATTGTAATATGTTTAACTAGATATGAACTGACTACTGAAGGGTATCTCTTATGAAGTTAAAACGTTACTAATTGTATCATTTTGAAATGGTATTGGTATAATAAAATGTATTCTATTTACAATTAAATATATTCATATTAATTCATCCTGAAATTGGGAATATTTTTATATTAGTTAGTACTACTCACTTTAATTTCACTCATTGGCACAATATTATGTACCTAATTATTAAGTATGAATACATAAATCCCAACTGCTACATTTAAATGTTAATGTCAGTAGATCTACATATATATATATGAAATTTATTATACTTCTATCTTTTCCATTTCACTCAGTGGTAGAATATTGTGTAACTCATCTGAGTGTACATTAATAGTTTCCCCATTTCTGCATATAACTCCATATTTCATATTTAAAAATGATTACACCCTGCAGACTGATCGTGAGCTTTATTCTTTTTTGAAATGCTGACTAAAAATTTTATTTCGCGCGATTTGTTTTCTTCATTTTTTCTTTTTTGTCTATCAGCTTTTCTGTGCGCGTGAAACAATAAAAAGTGCACTTAAATAATACTTGCTTTCTTTTAAATAGTGTATATTATTATTAGTGGAAAAAATCTATACTGAAAATAACGTCGTGTGAATTGAAACAGAGAAATTTCAGCTCCGGTTAGACAGGGAAAGAATTCTTTGAAGAACTCACCGATTACCGCCCACAGGATTTCTATAGCATCAATGAACTTTCATTAAACGAGGCAAAAGTGCATCGGGAACAATGGGCAAGAACATAAAGGAATTCTGTGAGGAATTCGTTTGGAAATATTACGAAATATGCATTATCTCATTGAAACTAACTCCATAATTTTGAACAACTATAAATTATTATTAAAGTCGTATATAATATTTTGTACGTATGAATATTAAGGAATAGTGCGCCTATTATCTTATATCATTAACAGGGCAACATGTGGTGAATGGGGATTGACCCAGGTCAGGTCCAGGTTAGGCCCAGGCCTCAGTCAAAATAAAGATTAGAAAATGTTGTTAGGTCTCTACCTAGCAGTAGCGGTGTTATAGCGGTAGATTGTTTGCGAAAAATTGCGTTTTGCAGAAGAAAGTAATTATTTTTCTCAAAAAATAATCATCATAATTTCAAACCAGAATAAAATAATATCTAGATTTTATTGTAATCATCATTATTGTATGACTATGGACGAAAATGCGTATAGAAAAGAAGAAACTGTCAGCGAAATATTTTCAATCAGGTTGAACCCTCCAATTTAGCGCGGCGCCCTTTGCAACCTTTGAAAATTTTCAATAATGGATCAATTTCCACACAATAATAGGTCGAAGTTAACCTACACTCGTATTTGGTACAAGTTACTAGCGGAATATCAAGATTTAAGAATGTTAAAAAAGTACTATCATTTTTTCTGTAAATATTTTCTTGAAAGATAATGTACTTTTAAATAATTCATGCTCATTCAGTTTACTATCACAGAATAGGTAAGGTATTCGTCATATGAATATATACATATGTATATATTATATTAATTATGGTTTATATTTTATTTAACGTCTAATCAAATATCTTGCATTTCCCGTAGGCTGACTGTTTGAATGCCTATAGCATTTAGGCTACTTATTAGTTTTGTTACATATTTTATTGAAAAAATCAATAAACATTTCATTATGATATTAAAATGTGTGATGTTGATATTTAAATTTCATTAGAAATGTATATACTACTGATTTCATTAACTGAATTAAAGAAAAGAAAGACTATTTAATAAATATTTTGTGTCAGTAACTGTGTGATGATCAGTCAAGCTTGAGTCCACAGTAACTTAATATTATATACTGTTATTCAACTTTATATACCATCTTATGACTTGTGTCTTGTACCCTTACATGAAGCTATATAAGGGAGCGACCACGTCTGTTATACTTGATGGATGGCTTTGGCATTAAAAGTTCATCGATACAGGACTAATATAATCCAGATCTTACCCGTAACTTTGCTTATTTTAAGATAAATGAAAACATTTAACCTCATGTAAATGAATATGGTCGTATCGATGTACATCATATTAATATTGTCTATCTGTTAATATTTATAATACTAATAATTAAATATTATAAATTAAATTTGTAATTAAACTTTGTTTATTTAGTATTTAGGTATTTAGTTGATCGAATGTTATTAGAAATTTAAGTAGTTTTTTAGTACAAAGATTTTAGTTATTTCTTTACCATAAAGTTATAGTATATTTTTTAAAATTATAACCTAAAATTTTTAAATTATTATTATTAGTATTTATTTTATTTTGTCATAGCACTTCATACACAACGGCGGCATATGGCAGTCATCAGAACGTGTTACTGCGCCTCGATACATTGGGTCGCCCACCGAGTTCGACCGGGTCGTACGCGACCATAGCCAGTCTACACAAATTCCCATTTGGTATACATTACAAAAATAACATAATCACCTTAATCATCGCAATATTTACTACACTATAGTATTATCGATCTAAGTCTGTGAAGAAAGGTTAGCCAGGCCGTTACAAACAATCAGAGTCCTGAATGCAAGTATTTGTAATGTGTGCGGAAACGAACCCGTGACCATTGGAAGTAAGGTGGTGTAACTGTTAGACCATTGAGGCCGTCAAATCTTATTATTATTATAAACGCGAGCTTTTGAGCGTGGATGAATAGATCTATTTATTTATTTATTTTAATTTTAGGGTCAGCAACTCGCAAGTGATACCCCTGGTGTTTCAGGCGCTCATAGGCTACGGTAACCATTTACCATCAGATGGGCCGTATGCTTGAATGCCACCATCGTAGTATAAAAAAAAATATTACTACACTATACATACTATCCGAATCAGTGTTGCAATTTAGTACACTACACATATAATAGACGGTAGCTGGATGGATGGATGTTTGTTATTCTTTTAAACAAAAACTACTGAACGGATTTTGATGAAACTGTATAGTAATATAGCTTATACATCAGAAGAACACATAGGCTAGGCACTAAAGTCATACGGGTGAAATCGCGGGCACAGATAGTATACTAATATGACAAAACTTATACATAGTTATATTATACTCATATAAGATTAGTACCTATATAAAAAAATGTCGGTGTGTCAAATCAGATAACAACCAACTGCGAATTCAGATAATACCTTTATCTAGTGAATAAAGACATAATATTATTTCCGCAATAGGAAGTAGGAGATCCCCTTCACCATATGCCACAACTCATATCGGCGAGCACATTTATGCGAAACCAGAATCTCGGGTCTCCTACTACGCAGCATCTAATCTCACACACGTGTCACAGGTAAGCGGATTAGTATTAACTAGTGGTCGACCAATCTTCGAAATTAGACCATAATTAATTTAAATTATAAGTTTAAACATTAATAAGTTTATATTGTCAAAGACTATTCTTGCATGTGTGTATTGTTCGTTTTTATTGAATTAATGTGTTTTTTTTTGCATATTTAAAAAAATATTAGCATCGTGCACTCCTTATCTATGTATATAAACTATAAGTATGCGAAATTTAAGACTCTTCCATCCGAGCAATTTTCGTTATTGCTTGTAATGATTATGAAACTAAATCTCACATACAATTTTAAAAAGCCTAGCCTAGTAGTCTATGGCTTTTTATATCCCGAATATTATGTATATACCTACTATCCGGTTAATAGATACGGCAGACGACGTCCTGCCCGGTTTTCCCTATTGTTTATAGATAGGCCAAAAAACCTTTTAAAACTATGTGAAGTTGTAAATTTTTGAGCAAAATCTCAAAAATTAGGTTACATAACCGACCAAGTCCAAATGTGTTTTTAAACTGACTGGAGAAGAAACTGTATACCTCATGAAGAATTAGACCGCGTACAATCAAATGCAGTGTGTTAGTTACTGTAGCTGATATCCAGAATGTGCATTAAGCTTGCAACTTATTCTCCTTTCAAGATATTTGGCACACCCTATCGGAGCGTGTTCTATAGTATATATTTTTCTCTAGCAGTAGTAAATTAGTACAGCCTGATTTATTTTAGTTTACTGCAGAGTTTCTAGGTTATTTAAGTCACAAGCGGAAGCGAGCCGAACTCTTAACTGCGTCCTATTTTGTTTCCGCTGTAAATTATTCCTTAAAAATATATTCTGACTACAAAAAAATAACTATTAACAATACATATACATCATAATGAATTAATTCATTGAATTGTGATTAAATTATTCAAGCCTAATTTCATAAAGAAACTTCAAAATGTCTCATAAAAACATATGTTTATAGTATTTTCTACAATGCTCCAAACCAATTTAATAATAATAATTAAAAAGTTAACTTAAATACGTTTATCAGTGTCATTGTAAATTATGATACCTTTCCACGGCACTTTAACATACTGTATATAGCATATCTAACCAACTAACACAACTAATGACACAGTTTGGTTTTACAGACGATATGTAGTCTCCTAATCCATTGAATTTATTATCTTAATTTATGTGCCTGAATCCTATAACTTAGGGCAAACCTTAAATTTAGCCACAATCACAAATAAATTAACCCACATTATGTGGTTCCCGTTGATCTTTGGTTAAGCAATCCCATATTGTAACAATTTAATGGCGTTGCCCAGATTACAATGTGGTACTACGATATATGTGTTTGAAATATTTAACTCACTATATACTAGTAGAGTATGCAAACAAATTAGAAGATATATGTACATGTATGTATTTTTAATTGAGAAAAGGAAATAAATTTTGCTTTAATATTTTTTTAGTCATCAAAGATAGAAAGTGTGAGAGTATCACCAAATAATTCGCATTACTACTATCCGGTTTGTAATAATAGGCCTAAACTTATTATTAATTTAACGGAGGTAGACTTTATAACATCTCGTCTTAGTGTATTCCCTAGTCTAAAAGAATTCAGCCGACAGCCAGTTTGCTTTGTAAGATATGTTTCGGTTGTAGCATGCGATTAAGCAGTGACATTACAGGATTTGTGACTGGACGTTGTTGTTCTCTGGAATTGTAACGCATGAGTATCGCTTACCATGACGTGGGCCAACAGTTTATTTGGATTCCGATTACATAAAAAAAAATAGAGATTAAATTACTGAGTACCTACCTACTACTCAGGTTACTTTGTTCCTTAGTAACGCTATATAAGAAGTAATGTCACTGCATTACGGGTATGACAGTGTTTTTAATTATAACCATGATGCTGTATATATGTACATAGATAACCAAGGATTCGTTGGCATAAGCATTTATGCTACCCGGGTTTAAAAAAATATGAACTCGTAAATGAATATAACAATAAAGGATTTCCGCACATAATTACAGGAAGATTTCCACGTTTTATGATGAATTTTTTACGACTCTCCTTGAGCAGGAGGAATTGTGCATAAAATAAGTCCTTTACCTCATTAAGGATCCAATTTGAAACGAGTTACCCCGTCTCCCCTGCAGGTGATACAAACGTAACGCAATTAGCGATCTTCCAAAGGGTTAAAATATTGGCCACAGATATAAAAATGAGATGGAAGACCTTCATGTATATAACATAAATACGAGTAACAGTTCTTTGTTTTAATAAATATTAAATAAACATGTAGTTGTAATTAAATTGTAATGTGGAATGTTTGTAAATCTATTTTAAAAGCATAATTGGTACCATGTTAAATTTGTACACGTTTATGTAACTAAAAATAATATAAATATTAATTACGTGAACTGTTACAGTTATATACTTACTCTTATATAATAATATATATTAAAGATTCTTTGGTAATTTTTAAGAAGTATGATATATAAAATGCAGTAGAAAGTAGTGTGCAACAATAATTAAACCATGTACATAGGTTTAATCATTTAAAACCATATTTTACTCTAATTTTTAGATTATATATTAAGAAATATACTAATATTATACAGGGCAGGATTTGATATCTTTATCTGTGTTTATGTTTAGTAGATAGATTTAACTTCCAAGCCATTTCCAGAGAAGTTTTATATCTTTACATTATAAGACCAAGAACAGAACAGTTTTTAATTTGAGGCTGCACTCCCTCGCCGGCCAAATTTATAGCATTGTGAAAATTCTTTAGAAGAAATATGAATTAGTATTCTTAGAGCGAACTCATAACTAACATTGTTAATGTGAATTAAGCAAAAGTTAATTAAAATTATTGAAAAAATATTCTAAATTAAAAAAAATGCTGGTGTATTATACTATATAATAGCAGTATATTCAGTAAATTATATTTAAGAATTTATGGCTCCAATTATAAACAGATAGGAAGATGCTCTCTTACATAGCTTGCTATGAAAGGTTGAGGTTAGGTTTGAAAAAAACTACCTTTATAAAAAAGAATATACTGATGGTCTCAGAGGTCTAGCGGTTTAGCTTTACTTCTGATGGACACGGGTTCGATTCCTCGCATGGTACAAATGGTATACATAAGTATGATAGTTTGTATAAGTCTGGATGTTTTGTATGTATTTACAGAAAAAAGCATCCATATATTTATATCATTTTTCTAGTACCCATAATACAAGGTCTTACTGAATTGTCCTGGGATATTATTATTATCACTATGACTGTACATTTCATCTTAAGCTACTAATTTAAATAATTAAGTATTTTGTTACTTAAAGGTAAAAGAAACTTTTTAAATAAAAAAAAATACTTTTAGCTAAATTATTAATTAAATGAACAGTTCGAACAGAAAATAATTTTACATTACAAAATTTCAACTTCAATAGACAACGTATGGCCACTAGCATCTGTAGTTGGTAGAAAAAGCCATTACCTGTGATGAAGCACTTTAGCTCACAACTCGATTAACGGATATCGCTCGGCGACTGAATGCAATTATCTACCAGTACACCTGCAGTGTCTGGAGGTAGACAATAAACCTACAATGCTGAATGATAAACTTTAATATAAGACTTCAATCTAAATCTGTTCAGTGAAACGTTTATGAGTATTAATTTATAACTTACTGGCTTCTGTCTGTCGTCCACGTGAGAACTTGAGTTGTGTAAGTGACTTAAAATGTTCCACACTGAAAATTTAAAAATAAAAATCCCATTACGTCTTAGACTACCTTAGTCCAAAATATATGATGTATATTTATATTTTATATATTTTTATATTTTTTTCTGACATTAAAAAAATATATAAAACATTATTACTAAAAAAATAATAAGGTATTGAGTGTCGAAACTCAATTTACTTATTAAAGACTAGTATCTTGCCACACTTAAAGGATTATCCAAAGCATATAGTGACCCAATTATGTAAAATAATCGTTATTACATAAAAAACAATAAACAACACTCAATAATCTTTATATTAATGTTATCGATCGAAAAATATCGACCTCTGACCGCTGCAAAAATAAGCCATTGAACAACGAGATAGCTTGTTAAGTGAAACCAAACTTTATGTAATTTTGTGGGGAGTATACAATCCCACAACCCTGACTAAAAAATGGAGAAAATGGGATTGTTAGTAATGTGAACTGTTGATCATATTGCTAGCAATGTACCATGTCAGGTTGATCTCCATGCTGTTCCCCTGTAAACCATCGTGATAAATTCTTGGCGAATTTGTCACGATGGGCTAACTGCCCTGACCTCATATTCATCTTATCATCCTCTACTGGTGCCCCGCCAGCGTAAACCGTTACCGCAGGTAGGCGCACCATTCTATTATCATCAATAAAAAAAATTAACATCTACTCAGGGTTGTCGGGTTGTTCTCTCCCATTCAACAACATGAAATAGTACATCATAGTATACATATAGTGATGGGTACAAAAAGGGATAATAACCATAGTTTATTATTTTATTAAATAATTTAACGATTTTTTACATTCTTTATTTAATAATAACCCAGGTCCTGACTAAAGCTTGTACTATGATACTAAACAACTTGTTGCATGTCCTACAAATATTCCATTTTACTTTTATACTGCGTTTTGTTGTTTGATGTACGAGTACGTGCCGCTTTCGACATATCGCGCCCGCTTTATTTTACTACAGGGTTTTGAGATCCCGCAAAAAATTCTGGCAACTATCGGGTTACATTAGTTAGTAAAATTAAGTTTCTTTTAAGTTTGTTTTTTAAATTATTTATTATGATTCTCTAACTTAATCTAATTTATTAATGTGGGTAGTAGACATTGATAAATTAGATCAAGTTAATTAATTGAGAATAATAATAAATAATTTCAAGTTTTTACTGACTAATATACCCATCGCTGCTGAATTTTTTGCAGATAAAGCGGGATCTCGACTTAATATAATATTAATAATCTGACTAAACAAATATTATACTAAATAGGAAGCGTCTTATTTAGCAGAAGATTATTTAAATTTACAACTAGCTCGAGGAATATTCTAATACCGCTTTAAATATTATTAAATCCTTAAAGCAGCTGAAGAAATATTTGTTTTCGTCTTTTCATTATGAAAATCTTTTAATGTCTCACTGGGCATTGCTTATCCAATAATAATAATAACTATAATTAAGATTAAGTTAAAGGGATGCAATAGTACTTATGGTGACTCGATTATTTATTGTAGTACATTTTAATTTCTAAATTTATTTATCTCACACTACTGTATTGTATTTTATATCTCTATACCAATGATGACATCCTAAGTTTGTAAATGAGTAGTGTAACAATTTAAGATTACATCATCATGTAAAGGCGAATCTGATTAACAATAATAGCTATTTAACATCCAGAACAGACATCAATGCTGGGTGACCTAAATTCGAAATTAATAAATAATATCAGTCATTTTTTTAAAAGTACTTCTATATCTGAATCATAAATATACTGGACACACCGATAGGACACTAAATTAACCCGACTGATGGCAATTAGTTTTTTTGTTAATTCGATATTTGAGACACATTCGAAATATACTCAACAAAATATGTATATATTCCCCACGCCATCGACATTTGACTATACAATTACAGTCGTAAAGACATATGTTTTTTTTAGCAAACAACTAAAGACCGGATTACCGATCCAGCTGAGCAGCTGGAACACCTTACGACTGCTCGTGCAAATATACGCCTCGAAATTTTAGTTCAGGAAGGGACATTTGGAAGGGTATATAAAGGAGTATTCAAAAAAGGCGACACGTATGAGGAAGTTATTGTGAAAACTGTTTCAGGTAAGCTTTAATAAATTGATTGATGATGAATTATAGACAAAGTAACGTTAAATAATTATTTGTATTAAGATATTACTAAGACTGACAAAAAAACTAATTAATCTCCTAAAATACAGTAACGTAAATTTTGCCTAAGTAATAATAATTTATAGATCACAAATTATCGTGCTAACATTTTAAATGTACGTCAAAATATAGTATTTTATACAAAACATCCTTCATACCCTAAACAATTTTAGAAGCTGCATCAGCAATGCAAGCAGCTTTGCTAGTTGCTGAGGGTTTACGTCTCTGTGGGCTGGTCCACGCCAATGTACTTGCACCAATGGCAGCTTGTGCTGAAGAAGCGAGAAGGCCACTTCTAGTATATTGTTGTGCGTCACACTCTTCTAATCTTAAGAGGTAGTATCCAAAAGGTCTTTTACTTTTAGTAATACTATATGAGGTAACTGCAACAATTCGCATGCCTTTGAATAACTTGAGTTCTTATTTGTAAATCACACGTTGTATTTGAGCAATATATTAATTATGTCATAAGGTTCCTTACATCCTGTCGACTGGGTCATCAGGCTGCACCAGCTACCAGAGAATTAGTGGATTTGGGCGCACAAATAGCATGTGGTTTGGCATATTTACATGTTCAGAGATTAGTACATGCCGATATTGCTGCAAGAAACTGCGTGTAAGTTTTCTATGCATTTTTTTATTTAAATCTTTTATATAAGCCGAAACATGATTATCTTTTATTTACTCATTTAGAGTTAAGACATAGTATAATAGCAAATATTGTAAGAAATTCGTAGCCCCCGGCAAGTTAGTAAATCTAAAATGATAACATTAGTTAGTGTTAAAGTGATTACAAAAATTTTGTTATTACGGTAGATAACTAATTGTTTCTTAATATTTTGTCGTATTTTAGAGTCGATGAGAAATTGAGACTGAAAGTGACAGATAATGGTTTATCACGAGATTTATTTCCTGATGATTATCATTGTCTTGGAGATAATGAGAATAGACCAGTGAAATGGATGGCCCCTGAAACTCTGTTGCAGAACCAATATACTACTTCGTCTGATGTGGTATGTCTATATTTTTTTATTTACTTTTATTTTCATCTATGTCTTGTCTTTCATAATACATTAATAATTCTTAATACTGACCGTATTCATTCTGCTAATAATATTGTATGAATTATTTTAGGTAGATACCGTTCCAATAATTTAAATGATTTCATTGTTAATGATATTCTTTCTTCCACAGTGGTCATTAGGTGTAACATTATGGGAGCTCTCTACTTTAGGTTCATCTCCACTGGCAGAATTAGATGCAGCAGACGTTGGTGCTTTTCTTGGTGGAGGATATAGGCCGTCACAACCGCATAATTGTCCAGATGAATTGTAAGAGTTTAATTTAAAAAAAAAGACTAATTTAAACTAAAACATACATTAATGTTTTCTGATATTAAGTGCATGTTTAATAAGTATGCTGCAAATTTTAATTCTTTTTACTTTGGTAATTTGATTTTTTAAAGATATTTAAGATATATGAGAAATATTGTATAAAAATTTTAAATATAATATTTTATTTTTTAGAGGGTTATCTATATATTGTAGTATAATACATAGGATTTTTGTGATCGTCCGCTTCTTTCTAAAAGTGATTAATATAGAATAATATACATATTGCAATAGAATTTAAAATAAAAATACTGTTATTACCAGGTATGGCTTAATGTCTTGGTGCTGGACCACGTCAGCATCAGCTCGTCCAACTGCTCCGCAACTCTTAGCCGCTCTCCACGACTTTAGGCAAGCTCTCAGTACTTACATTTAATACTTTAGTCTTTGTATCTATATTCTCGAAGGAACAATTAGATATATATATTAAAACATTATGTCTTTTGTCTATTTCAATATCACTAATCTAAAATAACTTGTCAATTTTCATACAAATCCTTGCTACTATTTTTCTTTACACTGTATCTTTACCAAAGTGCCTGCCAAAGAATTTGAACACTAAGCAGTATTATTTTATTTAAGAAATAATAATTCAGATAATCCATAGATGCAGTAAATCAATTTAATAATATTATTATTATATGTATTTTAAATATTATTTGTCACATTTTGTACAATAATATCAGGATAACTTTATATTAAGGCACAAAGGCCTACCACCTAATTAACTATTTTTAGATCAGGATAATTACAGTGAATTATGTATACATTAAAGTCAACTGTGTGTACGATAGTAATCATATGACTTCATCTAGCAAAATAGGAAATAATAGACTAAAGATCAAGAATGTTTCATTTGATAACCGTCCTTATTAAGCTCACACAAATAAATTTAAGTTTTATTTTAACGTAAGAATAAAAGACATTATTATTTTTCTTAAAACTTAAATTATCCTGGATGTGGTCATAATTAGCAATAGTATATTGCTAATATACAATGTAAGAATAAAAACCAAATATTTAAATAACTGTGCTATTATAAATGAAGATGTTTTAGGACATATTTTAACTAAGAAAGTGATATACATGTAAGTAAATATAAATATTATTCACCATTTCATGGGAATGGGTGTAGAATTCCAAATGCTAGAAAATGTCGTTTAAGACTTATATAAATGATATAATTTAAAAGAACTTACTGAGAATAATTTAAATTCCAAATAAATTGAACATAAAATAATATTCATTAGAATAAACATTATTTACTCAAGTCATCCTAAAAGTTTCTAGATTAAGAGAGATTAGAGAGATTAAGTAATAAACAAATGATTTTTACAACGTATTTGATGAATCGATTACGATTAAAGTTTAATTTGACTTAAATAAAAATACATATTATATATTGTGAAGTAACTACTAAGTTTAATAATTGTTTGCTTCTAATAAAGGATCTAAAATTTAATCAATAGGTGCAGAAACTTTTAGAACGACTCACGTATGACGTAATGAAATTAAAACAAATAACTATTTTGTAAATAATTATGCCTATAGGTAAGGGAAAATATGCTAATATTAGAATATGTGTACATACGGTTCGATGCAAATGGAATTTAGATTTTAAATGTAATGAAGACAGAGCTAGATGGAATAACTGAGACTCATATTAAAGTTGAAGAGTAAGTTTTATAGAAATCCTTGACCAGGAAGGGACTAGAGCTACTGTTTTAATAATATTATGTTTTAAAAAGATTGAAATATAAAAGTTAACAACCAGTATTAACTATTAGACAGGTGCAATCGCGGAATCCACAACTTGGATTGTAACTGTCAAATTGTACATACATAATCATAAAATTTTGAAGTTCAATCTTTTAAGACTTATACGGTATATAATAAAGACCATGTGGACATTGCTGATATACTGAATATCTCTCTTCTGGGCATGGAGTCTCATTGCATTTATCCTTGGCTAGTGAATTTTCAGGTACGTTGACGTGAATATAAATTAATGTCTATTATAAGGTTTAGGTTAGGTTCCTGAGGACAAAAGTCCGTCCAGGCTCACAAAAGTATCAAACACCAAAACAGTAGTTAGTCGTGAATTGTTGACGATTTGGCTTTGATGAATTAAAAATTAAAAAACCTTTGTAACCGTTGTATAAATATCATAAAATATAACTTTGTATTATTTTTAATATGTATATTATTATACAATTTTTTATTTTAGTTAAAATGTTTATTAGTAATTAGTATAATTTAATTATTTAATTAGTTTTCAAATTAATTCCTTGAAGCCCAAATTCGTTACATTCATGAAAAAAGTATATATTTGTCTATTATACCACAATTATAAATAGAAACTATAATGTACTAATCATACATATATTCGAATATATCTAAGGAAAAAGAATTACAATAGTAATTAATATGATATTGTAAATACGATTATTTGAAATAATTAAATAAATTATTATGATCATTGAAACAGCTAGAATTAAAAGGGATAATACAGTACGTACAGTACCAGATTAGAATATTCTTATTTAATCATTTTCAAAATAATATTTTTGTATTCTTATGTTTTTGCCATAATCTGCATTTTTACTATAGGTTAATGTAGCAATATATTTTTCTCTTACTTCATTAAGTATATACTAGGTATATTATTTGTATTGGTTTTTTTTTTACCATCTTATACACCATTACCATGATCCAGTAGTGACAGTTTTTAGTCGTAAAGTCTTTTTGAATTAAGTCAACCGCTACATTGTTTAGTAATATATCTGAACTTGCTTATTTTTAAATTCATATTGTGGTATTATTTATGAGTAAAAAAGTTTATACAAATATTAATTTCACATTATTTTTACATTTACTGTTATTCTATAGTAATTACTGTAATCACACATTTACTCATTGTGTAATCTCTGACAATTAATTAATTAATTAATGTTATCATACTGTTATTGTTATGTTACTAGTATTGGTCTACTTTTCTATACATTGGTTCCACAATAGATGTACTCGTAATAATGCTACATAGAGTTCGTTAATTTCATACTTTCGTTAATTTAAGTTCTCTGCCGCTAATAATAATAGTCGAGTCATATAATAGTAATTATGAATACTTAAATCACTTCAATATTAACTAATTTTATGAGTGTACTATAATTAAAGAACAATTTTCAACTTAATTTGATATTTTAGAAAAACTTGCTTATGCTAGGCATAAAGATTTTTAAACTCGTGGAATGTCTAGAATTTTGAAGAAAAAAAAAATTTCCTTTAATGATAGTTTCATTATACTAATAATAGTATTATTTCATTACATGTATAATATACAAATTAACAGTGGTATATAAAACAATCATTGTCGTTTAACAAAGTGTTAATTAGTTCTATTTATTATACATATATAATTATTTACTTACACTGATTGTAAAATTTAAAATTTAAACATTATTTCACAACAGAATAATTTTAAATCCCTGTAATTATACAACACCCTTGTTTGTTCGTTTACGACTTTATTGCAATTATTTTATTAAAACTATTAGCATAATATGTACATGCTACTTATATAATTGTATTTATGACACGTTATGGATCATACAGGGTGTTTAACTATTAGGCATTATATTATGCATCTTAAAGATCATCCGTTTGAAAATCACTAGTTTGCGCTCTATCGAGATTAGCTTGTAACTTTCTTATTAAAACGTGATTCGGTGTTCTTGTATATTTTTTATAGTTAAAGCACCTTAAACTAGTACTCGTCTATCCTATATTTAAAAGAAGGAATCTGAGCATGTTCTATGGTCATAATCGAATTGAGATCGTATAGTATAATTGTACTTTCAAAGTCTGGCAAATATTAAAAAAATATGAAGAAATTCGTTATACATAAAATATTAATTTAATTATCTTATTCCCATAACTATAACATATTTTACAGTTAACATTAATACTAAAACTATTTTAGATTGCTCTTTTCTTTTTTTTAATACTATATTATTATTGATTGTTGATATTAAAATATAATATTATTTTGTGACAGTTAAGATGAAATAATAATAATTGTGTGGAATCGTTTTATACAAATGTCATATTATGAGTGACATCGAGTGCCAGATGAATGTGATTGTATGTTAAATGTTGATGTATGTTTAAATGTTCTTGTAAGTAACTGTTTATATAGTGTTAACGAAATGTATGTAATATTGTATGTACTCCGTATGGCTTCATGGACATTACAAGAAACGAAATACAACGTTATTTTACAATATAATGGTGTTTTAATTGATTTTTATTTACTGCAGTTATTTTAGCATTGTATTATTTGATTTTTTATAGCTTTAAAAAATAATAAAATTTAGAATAAGCCAATGGCATTGGGTTCTCTTAGCCTACAGCGTAAGGGATCTAGTATGACGATAGATTTAGTGAAACGACAAAGATGTTTTTGAGTAAAGTAATTTATATAAACTATTAACAAGAGGTAAGTTTACTAATTCCTTTATATCAAAATCTATATTATTGAAAGTTGATACGTATTAGGTAGACTTTATAAAAAGTTGTCAGTGTTCAGCTTCAACCGAAACACTTTTTACAAAGCAAGCGATTTGTAAGATGTGTTTCGGTAGAAGCGTGGGAAAAAGCAGTCAAATTACTGAATAAGAAGTATGACATATTAGTTCTTATTGATGGCAACGTGTAAGTGGTGGTCAAACGCGGGCGTCACATGACAACGTAATGTCGCAGTAGTAGCGGTCCATGTAAATTTCTACTATTTCCATTACTTGTCTTTACAAGTATACTCTTTCACGTGCTAATAGGCTTTCTCGCAGGAAATAATGTGCATGTAAGTGTAGACAAAGAGAACGAGAAAGACCGCGCGTGCATTTCCGCATTCTTCGATCAATGCAAAATGGTGGACAAATGACTGTGCAGCAGAAACATAATTATAGAGTTTTTAATAATTTAAAAACCTTAAACGTGTCACTGAAAAAAATATTCTGGCAAATAAAAAATAAAATTTTAAACGAAAGTTATATAACATGAGTCATACTTACAAATACGTGTAAACAAATATAGTTTATTGCAATCCTTCACAATTGTCTTCACAATTATTTTCATCATTCTTACGTAAGAATGGATCTTGTAAAGGCACCATTTTCCGTCAGATGGGTTGTCAGTTTTTTTGAAAGTCCAATTAGTTAAAGAAAGTAATAAAGTTGTATTTCATTAAAAAAATATTGCTACAATAACTGCACACCAGGGCGAGTTACTAGTACATTTACGTTACTGACAGAGACAATCAGATGAACAAAGTTATAACCCCTCTTTTAGCGTCGAGTTAATAAATAACAAGTTACATGTACATAAAAAACAATACAGTATCACGTTACAGCTGAAAACTTTCAGGGCACCGGTCACGGGTAATAAATCAGTAGTTAATGTCCGCCACTCCTTTGCGACCATTGGATTATACGGCGTGACCAACAAACTTGTTTTTGTTTAGATAATTTTGTTTTTGAGTTCAGTTGGAATTAATGGGGCTTACTTTGTTTTGTAGACTGTTTGCTATATCACATTGATATTTTAACATCAGGTTACA